TAACAGATATATTTTAAATACTATTTAAACTAATATTTAATAAAATTCAGTAAATTTTTTAAAATGTAGATGTAACTTTTCTTTTTCATTAGTAAAGATATTAAAAATAAAAATATTTTATAATATTTCTCACGCTTCTAGAAATTTTTATCGTTATATTATTTTCTCTGTTTTTTTTCGTTAATAATCGATTATTTCGTTTTTTCTTTTGCTTGTTACAAGATAAATATTATTTCAAAGTCAAAATGTATGATAAAAATAATATTAGTGAAATAATTTCGGCAGGTATCGCGCGGGACGCTTATTTTACGTTGTTGAAGGTGCAGTGGAATATGATTCAATGCGGCAAAAAATAAATTACAAAAATATGGTCGTTTTTGTACGGCTGCATTGCAACATTATACAGTTTGTACTTTTATAAAAGGCATGCAATTTATAAATCTATGTGTTAAATCAGTTTAGTTCAACTTATCGAGTATTTTGCAGGAAAAAATGGGACGATTACGATAATTTTAGTCCCTCAAATTGAAAGTAATTTTTGGAAGCATTTTTAGCGAGAAATACGGCGAGAAAAATAGTAAAAAAATGCTCCAATCATCAGATACCAAAATAAGTAATAAAAAAACGGAAAAAAAAGGAAAAAAAGGGATTCAATTTAAAACAAAAAACAAAGCGAGGTCTATTCCACATCCCCCCCCCTCCCCCGCTGTCTAAAAGAGTTTAACTTTCCATGCGAAACAAAGGTTCATCTTACCTCTTCTTCCTGTTTAAAGTATTTCAAATATTTTTCGAAAGATATGAGGATTTTGTGTGAATTCAGTAATAATACTTACCACAAGAGATAAGTTCGTTCCTACTAGTGTGACCTGTATTGAAGTTAAGAATTTTGTGTTATGAGTGTAAATGAAATAAATATAATTGAAGTAATGATTTACATAATATTAATTTAAACAAGTAGCTTACATTTATTGGTTTTAGTAAAATATATTAAAATGAGTTAAATACGGATAGGCACACAAATTGGGAATCACATTAATAGGGCCAGCGGCGCTTGGAAGACTCACTAATAGTGACAAAAACATGTTTTTTATTTATATCAAAAACATTATAAAGTATTAACATTTTTTAGATTAAAGAAATATCATAAGAAAAAGAAATACATAGTTGAAAACCAATATTGACTTCCAGCAGATAAAATTAAAGTTACAATATTTAATAATTAATTCAGTAATAAGCATATTGGCTTAAAGGCATACTAATAGGGGCAGTTACCTTATGCGTGGAGGAAGTATGTTCTGCCCCCCTTTAGGAGGAGGATGAACTTTACTATCAAAAAGAATAATCTAATTCAAATCATTTTCGCGTGGAAAATAGGCTGTACGCCCATAGGCTGCGTTCGGAAACTTCGCTCCGATGCCCCGTTTATCATTAAATGTTAAACAAGGACAGATGATGAATCCGAGGGATCAGAGGCATCTGAGCGACGTTTCCGAACGCAGTCTGTGGATATACAGCTTTCCACACAAAGTGAGGTCCACTTCATCCCACCAATTCCTGCCAAAGGTTGCATTACTTTCCACGCGAAGCGAAGTCCACACCCCATAGGTCACATTAGTAAGGACGAACTTAAAATCTTGCGGTAAGTATTACTGGATTCACACAAAATCCTCATATCTTTCGAAAAATATTTAAAATTTTTTAATAGTTGAAAAACTAAAGTATTATCTTTGGTATTGTGTATACATTATTAATTTAATTTAATAAAAAAATAATTTTTCTTATTTATTCATGCTAATTTTGTTGTGGCTTATTTAAATATATAAACATACTAAAAAGACAGACACAGTAATAAAAACAGTTTCTCTACTATGCAACGCAAAGCGAAAATCACCCCACGTCTTAGAGGGTCTCACTTTCCATTCGAAACGAGATCGAATTCCCAATTCTTTCTATTTGTTATAATTAATTACTTTGGTATTTGTTGATTGGAGAATTTTTTTACTCGTGTTCCTTGCTTTCGACAATCACATTCATCTGGAGGGGCTAAAATTATCGTAATTGTGTCAAAAAAGTTGTGGCTAGAATGCAAAATCGAAACAAGTAATTAAAAACACTATTTTCACTTAGTTTTGCTTATGATTTTAAATTTTGAATAAAGAATTTATTATCAATACTAAATTAAATAATATATACCCAGCAAACACTAAATATTCTTGAAATATTCATAAAATGTTCCTAAAATAAAAAAAAACGTTTCAAAAATACTTCAAAATATTCTGAATATTTACGGTATGTAAAAGAAACATTCAAATATCGGTTAAAAATTTCATTTGTATGTCGTTACATATTTCGAGAATGTTCCATATATACATATATTCCACAAAATTTTAATATTTCCAAAAATTCCAGATCAAGTTGTTCGTGAATTAGTTTTTAAAATTTTATTTTGAAAAACACATTTAATGTGTTTCCACTTTGGATCTCACTTTTGGAACTCACTTCACAGATTTTTTTTAAAATGGATCCAGTGAAATTGCAGTACTTGGATATTTACCTTTAACTTGCATAACACATACGAATTGAGATTTTTTTTATAAACAGGAATAATATGGTATTGGATCATAGAAAATTTAGGATCCAGAGTGGAACAATAGGGGAAAAAACTTCTTTGACAAGATTACAGGTTTTGTGACATCCACATCTAACAGATTTTTATGGCAAGCAGCGATATGAGAATAACGAAGCAAACATTGAAACACATCAATGTCTTAATCGAAACCGACAACACGCTCCCTAGAATATATGGAGTAATTATGCCTCTTAACCATGAAACAAGTGCAGAAAAAACCACGCATGTATATGCGAGAGGCAGGCGGAATCAAACCGCGCGAATCCGTGGATTGGGAATCCATGGACAGAGCACGGAGCCATCCGACGCCTCCACTTATCACAGACGAAGTTCTGCACTCCTTATATTTTCTCTCAGATGATTCTTGTTTATGAGTAAATACTCTTCGCTGCGACCTTTTGTCGGCGGAGATGTGTACTGCTCGCTCGCTTACGATTTGAAATATACAAGGAGTGTTCATACAATATTCTGAACATTTCATCGACATTTGCACATTCTGTGACGATTCTTTTACTGTTCCGGAACATTCGGCACATTGGTAATGCGAATCGAACCTTCTGTGAATATTTAGCGTTAGCTGGGATAATTAATAGATATTTTTAATAATTATTCCAATCAATATTTTTGAACTTAATTATCTTTTTTTTTTATCAAAATACAATAATTTTTTGTCTAAAAAATCAAGCATAGATGAATAAATTATAAAAGTTACAAATTATACGTAAAAAATGTATGTTAATAACAGATAAATATATTTTTATATGTAAGAAACACATTTCTTTCATCTCACAGTTTTCATTAATATAACCTTCTTTTATATTACTTCTTTTATATTTAGATTCGTTGGTATGATCGAATTTTATCACACAATACCGTTTCTAATAGAAATTATAGGATTAGTGCTTACGATGAGTCTTGCATTAACGCAGGTATGTCAATAGCAGAAACACGTTGGGCGTATCAAAACATAAAAATGAAATTTTTTTAGATGCTTACCACTGCTGGCGATATGGAGCGAGTCATGAGATCTATTAGTGTCAGTATTCCAACACTGATAATACTATTCGTATCTAATTACATGGGACAAAGAGTTACGGATGCGAGCTCGAACGCATGCGAGAAGGTGTGAGTAATGTATTATCTTTTTTAATAACATAGGCGAAATGAATTTTGACTCTGAAACAGCAATATGTAACTTCCGAACGTTTTTGACATGCTAAAACCAAATCCGGAACTCAAATTGTTCCGTCACATTAAGTTTGCAAGATATCCGAATTGTAATCTTAATGTGCCAAGCCTATTTTATTGAGCATTTTTTAGATTATAAGCTCATAAACTTGATGTGATGGAGAAATATGAGTTATTATGGACTCGAATTCAGTATGAAAAAATCTATAAAAATGATCGATGATTATAAATGGGTCAACATAATGAAAAAAAATTAGATACATTGCAAATATGTTATCACTCTTAGCCGAAAGTTATGTGGATTCCATATATATATTTTTTTTATTCTAAAATTTTTTATTCTTATTTTTAATTTCTTTAATTTTTTAAGAATTTTATTTTACAATTTTTTTTTTTTTTT